AGAGAGAGAGAGAGAGAGAGAGAAAGAAATATATTCATTCTCACTCCACGTACAGCGTGTACGTCATTTGCGTCTCTCGCATCATTTTGCCGAAACTAATCTGTTGGCCGGATCTCTGATTAGAGAGACTCGAGAGTTTAGGAACGTGCAGTTAGAACCGTGAATCTTCTGTCCATCACTGTACCATTCGCGTCCGTTGCGTGCGATGTTTTGCGGTTATTACATCTGCTTTGTTTCTTCCAGTTCGATTAGTACATTCTCTGTGAAATAAGGTATACACTTGAAATTTGGCGAAAGCGAGATGGAAAGTTCCAGCGCGGTGCGGCGCCGCGGCGATAAGAGATAAATCTGCTGCCGGGAAGATTATCACTCGCAAAAGACGTCTTGCCTGATTTAATCGTTCCAAGTATCTCTCTTGTTTTTTGACCAGCAGACGAAGAAGAAATGATTTGACTCGGAAATGTGTAAGCGCGACGGCCGCTTGGAAAGTTCTCGGAATTAAGTGCAAATGTCACTCGCGCAACAGACGTTAAATGGAAAGTTCCAGCCCTTCTGTAAACACGTGTAAAAGTCCAACTCGCTCCATCGAATCTTTTTTACTGAACTTCGAGTGAATATACACCTGCGCGGTGCTTGAGGAATGAATAAACTCAAAGTTGCGGGCTGCGATCAACTATTTCGCGAAGGTCTTACCGGTAAAAGATGTTCATATTGGTATGCAAAACAAGCTCTTCTTCGTAAACTACTTCGAGTTTATTCATCTCTCAAAAATCAGTGGCGAGCATGGCGCGGAGAATTGTGCGCTGCTTAGTAAACAAATGGACAAAAAGAATCCAACCAGAAACATATTCCTGCTTTATGCAGTAAAATGAAGTAGGAGCGTCGCGTGTGGGCCTGGATAGTTCAGCGGGAAGATCCAGTCGTCCGGCAAGCGAAAGGTCTCCGGGTTCAAATTCTGACCTAGCCCTATGGTCGTCATTTTTCTCGCAAGCAAGTTATTAAGTGTCTGCACCAACGTCTTCTGTGTACTATTATGGAATCACGCGCAGGTACGCTCGATCTCTTCAGAGATCTAGAAAAGACGAACTATCCGATGGAGCTATCGAATGGAAACTTCACACATGTTCACAGAAAGCTTTGGAACGTTCCATTAAACATGCGACGCCTGTTGCGAGGCTGCCATTTGTACTTCCGAGAACTTTTCGCACGGAGACAGGGAACAGCAATTTACGTAAAAAAAAACTCGTATCGACATACTTACATCAATGAAATGTGAAAACTTTTAGTCAAGAAGTTTCAGCTTCGATTAAAGTTCCGTGTACCACAGTCGCTGACTGTCGTACCGTGGTTCGCAAGACTAATCAAAATTAAGGTGGGAGGAAATGCGCACCAACCGCAGGTGTGCGTGCGAAATTATCCAATGTGGAACTTTTAAATCAATTTATTAAAATACCCAAACGTTTCGACCCCTTAATCGGGTCCTTTTCAAGTGTGGTCTACGAACAATTGAAAGTAATTGAGCCGCAATATATAGAAAAGAAAAAGAAAAAATGGAAAGTCAATTTTTTAGTATGGTGATATATAAAGGTGAAAGATGAAACCTATAGTTGTCGAAGTAGCGTGATTTGTTTTTCAAATTTTATCGCGGTATCTCGATACGAGGTTTTCCTTTAACATAAATTGCTTTTCCCTGTTTCCGCGGATAAGATGTATCGAGGCGGGCCGTCAGAAAAATCAATGCCTCACGAGGCATTTCGCGTTTTATGTGCCGATATGTGTTCCGACGTGAAACACGGCATGCCTCGTGAGGTATTTGCTCTTGGAGCGGTCAAGCTGTACAAAAGTTCTCGGCAAGAAACTCGATATTCCACCTCGGGAATGACATCGAAGCGCGGGCGCGCGGTTTCCGTTTTCGTTATTATCTCGCTCGCTCGGCTGAACGGGGCGTTTTCGATCGTGAGTTCGCGTCGATCCGAGATTATCGCGGTGGGCGCGGCACGTGTGTGCCGCGCTCCTTCGCTCCTTACGATAAGCCCGCGACGATCCGTCCGATCTCGGCCGCGCGATTCAGCGTCGCGTGGAAAATCGCGCGGCGCAAAGCGAGGACTCCGCTTCCCGGTAGCCTCGATAATGACGGATCGCTTTTTGCGGAGCGAGCCTCGCGATCTCCTCCCGGTCGCGGGACGCAGCTGCGGCGGACCGACGACTCCGGCCTCGCAAAGCCTCCTCGAGACGCGTAAAGCGGCGCGGCTGCACGCGACGGGCTCTCGATCGCGCTGCCGTGAAGAAAAGGGGAGGGAAAAAAAAAACACGAAAAGTCGAGCAACCGCGAACACCCGGTTGCGAGGAGAGTCAGCCGCGTTTCGGAGTAATTACGATCCTCGCGCGGCCGACTGGCGTCCCGTTTCGAGCGCGCGGCCTCGGCCGACGTCGTTACACCTGCGTGCGTGTCCCTCGCGCGCGGTATATAAATATATATTTGAAAGAAAACTTGTGACGCCGACCCGTCCTACGACGGCCCGTCTCGCCCTTAACAACTCGCGCCACGGCACGGCACGTCGCCGACCGACTCCACCGATAGCCCGCGATAACAGCATTTTCCGACGTGTGCGTGCGCGAGCGAGCCTGCCTCTCGTTTCTCGCGCGAAACCACGTCAATTCGCTTAATGACGTTAATTCCGCGGATGCCAAGACGTCGTTCAAGAGGGAACGACGAGTCCCGCTGATCGCGCGAGGTCAGAGCAGTCGGCCGGTCGCGATTTAATGGAGAGAATCGTTGGCGAGGATCGGTCTCGCGCGCGAGGTGAAATCGCCCGGAAAGGAGAACCTTAGAAAAACGGAGCGCACGATCTCCCGTTTTCGCGTGAAACCGCTCGAAAGGATACAATTCGGTAAAACTCGCCGATCTCTTTGATCGGCTGGATCGCCGATTTATCCAACGATTTTGTTTCTCTCTCTCTCTCTCTCTGTATCATGCATTTTTTGCTCACAACACCTTCGTCTAATCTCGCTGTATTGGCCGGTTTCAGGACAAGGTGCAATGGCTGACGACCGAAATAACCAGCGGAGCTTCGTCAGGCAGCCGCACGGGGTAAGTGACGTTTCGCCCGCGTTAATCGCCAAATAGATTGAGTCGCCGATTAGCAGCAGGCGCGCGCGTCCAACGCGGAATTCGGTAATTTTAGAAAAGCCGCGAACGAGCGCGCGGCCGCCGCTGCATCTCTCGCGGTCGCCGAGTCGACCACGTGGCGGCCGCCGCGTTCGATCGTCTCTCCCGCGGGAGCGTGAATTTTTAGATCGGAACGCATTCCACGCTCTGACATTGACCGCACTACCGCCGCACTCAGCGGCTCTCATTTCCGTCCCCTCCGCCGCACGGGTCCCTCCGTAAGGTAACGCTTCAAAAAAAATCTCCCTAAGGGTGCATAGAGCGGAATGCGGTGTACGCAGAAAATCGCGGAACGAGAGCCTTGATCAATCACGAAAACACCCTCTATGAGTTTGCACCCTCAAGCCCGTATCAGACTACGGATTGAGATTGAGATTAGATTGAAATTTGACCAATTAGAATAAAAGTTGCTAAACTTGAGATTAGTAAACTTTACTGTGATTGGTCAAATTTCAATCTAATCCCAATCTCAATCCGTAGCCTGATACGGGCTTCAGACTAGCAACTGTCGACGCGGATTGGATTGGGATTGGCGATTGTGATCAGTAATTTTTTCGTACCTAGAAAATTGTTGCTGCAGTTGCAAGATCATTTTCTTCAGTGAAGGCTCGATTTTCCGGTCTCGCATCCGATTCCGCTCTCTCGTCATCGCCGAATTCGTCGCGAATCGCTGACGACAGCGACTCCCGATGGCTCGACAGACTCGTCCCGGTTGCGGACGGTGCATTTCGGGAAACCGATGAGCCGCGCTTGACGATTTGACGGCCACTTATCATGAACTAAACGCTCGTCGTTCGAGGAAATAAATCACGGCGCCTGATCGCGTCGGGGATCCCCCAAGAAGATTTCTGGTAAACCGTCCCGAGAGAGAAAATGCGTGTGTGTGCGCGCGCGCGCGCGCGCTTGGAGAACGGTAAATGCGCGCGATGGCAGTTTGCGTAAATAAGCAGCTTAAAAATAGTCCACCGAGTGTGTTATACCGGCGAGCAAATAAAGCCTACCCGGCTTTAAAGTCATAGAGTCGCTGTAACACGAAAATTTCCCCGAAACACGCTCGCCCCCGCTCTCCGTTTTACCGAAAAATCTCTCGGAGACGAAACTTTTGCGAGGGCGTCGCGCCGTCACTCCGGCGTGACGCGCAAATAAATCTGCACGATCGCCACTCGAGAGGAGAGAGATGCTTCTTCACAAAACTCGAAACTCCTTTGCGGCTCGCAAAGGTCAAGCCACCCGGTGCCTGTTGCGTTTTATCGCGCGCGTTTTCCATTTTGTCGCGGTAGCTGGCGGCGGCAAGTGGCTCGCGATTACTTGCGCCATTGTTCCGCCTCTTACGGGTAATCTTCTTCAAAGCGCTCACTTAAGTTCGTCCCGCGTTGACCCGTGGCATAATCACGCACAACGTACCATTATACGCGCTCTCTCTCTCTCTCTCTCTCGCCACAATGCCTGTGCTCATCGATTACTTCTCTCGATTAGTCCACCCACCGTGTGCGCCTGAATCTGCTTACGATGACGCAAATCCGGCCGACACGGCCGAGGAGCATCGTGCGTGCGTGGTCTCATTGAAAAAAAAAAGTCGAGAGAGAAGAAAACAGGCTCCGTCTTCTCGAGAAAAAGAAGATGAGGGCGTACCGTCGTAAAGGCCAATCTCGACGACCGCGTCCAAAGTTAATGAGATCTGATCGAGCGCCGAGAAACGCTCTCGAGATGCAGAATCAGACGGCTCAGCCGTTATTCTCGCAGGACGACTCGTCGGAGACGAAACTCGCGGGATAGTCGTCAACATTCGTGCGACGTGTCGCGCGCTCGGGGTTAAATTACGATTGAATTACGATTGAGCCGAGCACCGGCGCGTCGTGAGACGGAACGAGCGCGTCCTCGTTCGGCAATCACGATCTCCGGGGGAAAGAAAGGGCGTTCTTCAGATCCGAGGGACAGACGCGAGCGTCACGCAACGCTAATTAATCAGTTGTTCTCGCTCCACTCTCGTGTCTCTAATTTGATTCTGGATACTCGGCGCCTGCACCATTGACCGCGCTTTCCGCGATTCTCTCCCGCGCGCTCCGTTTTCTCTTTCAACGGGACTTTCGATCCCTAGGGCTGCACGCGTTTCGTTCCATTTTATTCCGAGTTTGACGAATAGAATGGAAAATATCGAAGATTGGCTCATGAATGACATATTGTTCCCAGCAATTATGAAAAATGCCATGGCGACCGCTACAATTGTAGCGGAAAGTTTTGCCGAAACGCACTCAATGTAACGTGGCGCGGCTGGAAAAAAAGAAAATGACTCGCGCCGATCTGGCCGTCTGTGCTCGCGTGCGATACTTTTCGCGTCGATCCGCTGGCTTTCATCGAGACGGAGCGAGAAACGTCGAAGGCTATCCGCAATTTCGTTTCTCGCACAGGGACGCGGGCCTCCTCGCGTTTCTGGCATGATCGAGCGGTTATCAGTTCGATCTCGCGAACTCGACGAGTCGCCGTCATCCGCGGAGCTAAAGGCGCGACGTAACGGCCGGCAAAACGAGAAAATTAAGAAGACGCATCCTGCAATTTTGCCAGTCTTCGACCACATCTCGCTCGCAATCGAGAAACCGATTTCGAAGTCGCCTCAGCCAAGGCAAAAAAAGAGAGAAACGCGAAGACCGCGTGTCACACGGCTCTGGAAAACTTTTGCTCGGAATGTGATTCCGGTTGGAAACGAGTTCTTCGATTGACAAGAGCTTTTATCTTCTCTGCGCGCTCGCATTGAATGCCTCGTTGAGAATGCCGAGTCCTTTCTAGTTCTTCATATTTAATATTGAACAATATTGTAGACCTCGAGGTTTGCATTTTCCCGCAAAATTACGTGGAAACGTTTAGTTTACTTTATTGCATAGCTTTAACAATTACGTGAGAAATGAGTGAAAGCCTGTGTCGATTTAAGAATATATATGGTATCCAACAAATTGAAGCGAGAAAGTGTGGGTTGGAATTCTTAGAAGTCATCGGAGTAAATTATTAGAGACTGAAAATGTGACGTTGTTTACCAGAAGAACAAGACAAAACTGATGCAATTTTGAAAATAATGTAATGCAACGTCTCCCTCGCATCGTGACGTACATTTTATTATTATTCCATAGCGGCCGGCACCATCGCGTGTCTCGGCGGCGAAATCGCGGAGAACCGCGATCGGGGAATCGATCGACCGGTTTAACTTTCGCGGATGACGAACTTTCGCGTTTTCGGCCGTGAGTGTCGTCCCTCGCTCTGTCACGAATTCGTACCGCAGCCTCCATTAAACTTATCGTTATGACGCACGCAGACGCTTTCACGCGGGCCATTTTGATAAAGTATTTCGGCAGATTTCTTGTTTTCAACACCCGGGAACTTTATGTCAAACTTTTCTTTATATAAACGTTGTTTTTTTTTCCCAATATCTTCACTGAACGAGAGGCGAGGACTCATCGGTCTTTTTATATCCTGTACCGATGCCAATAACAGACCGTCCGAGATGTCGTGAAAAGCGTTATCAGTCGCATAAAATACATACCGATTCGCGTTTAAAGCCAAACAACGGGTCGAACAAGCGATGGCTCTGGAAGATGTAAAGGAAAATCCCTTATTCCCGAGACAGGCACCTAATGTAAGATAGTGGGTTTTCAATACTCAATTTCACAAATCTTTGTCCTAACAGTTACACAATCTAACAATGAGTTTCCCACTAAACAGATTTCACTACAAGGGCAACAAATTCATAGTGGAACCAACAGACGATGCCTAGAGAGATGTTAAGTTTGGGTGGAAAATTGTCGGACTGTG